GGACAGGGTTTCACCGTGTTAGCCAGGATGGTGTCGATCTCCTGACCTCGTGATCCGCCCACCTTGGCCTCTCAAAGTGCTGCGATCACAGGCATGAGCCATCATGCCTGGCCTGGATATACTTATTTCTAAGATAGCAGATATTTGAGCACATATGATTACTCAAAAGAGTTTTATCAAGTGGCCTTTGGTTTGGCATTTTTGCTATTGTTGTTGACAAACAGTTTTTATTTATCTTCTTCCTCCTCCTCCTCTTTCTTGCCTAGCTTTCTCTGGACAACCCTGGTAGGACCTTCTTGCCACCCATTTTCCCTTTAGACTCAGAGCCCGTGACACCGCCTGTCCTTCTCCAGCAGCTTCCCCACCTTGCTGTCCTAAGGCTGCTTCTCACGGTCACTGATTCCACAGCTCACCCAGCTTGTCTACACATCTCCAAAAGCAAACCCAGGGTCTATGGATTTGATGCTGGGGATTCTGAGGAGGACAGGCAGTGGTCTTTGGGGGGCCTTAGGGGGGCCTTCTCCTCGCTTCCCTTAGCTGGTCCATAATCCTTCATTTTCCTCTCACAGCCTACTTTATCTACCTTTGTCCTTTCATCAAATTTAGACTTCTCTTTCCCCAGATGTTATCTTTCAACTCTAAGAGCACTTGGAAAGTTCTGTGAAATTGGTAGGAACTTGTGGGGTTTTCTTCTGATCTTCCTCCCTGCACGCCTGCACAGGGAAGGCATGAGCAGACATCTCGCCCTGTGGTTTCCGGGGGTCGCTGTTGCCATCCTGACCATCTAGCTGGCAGGCCAGGCAGCACAGGGCGCACTGTGTGGCTTGGCACTCTCCAGCCTTGCACCGCCTGCCTGCACAGCAGCCTCCTTCTTGGGATATTCTTAAATGGGGCTGGGGTGGCATTTCTGAGGGGTGATGAATTGGCAGAGGTGCCGTGGGTTTACTCACCAAAAAGTGGGAGTGGATTCTGAAGAACTAAAAGTCTTGAATCTTAATAATAGCAAAAATAGCAAAAGTAGAAAAGGTGGCAAAAGATTTCTATGGCTATCAAACTATTATTGGATTTATTAAAGGATGCACATTCTTCTTAGATTCTTCTGCTTTCAAAGTACACGGTATACATTTCATGTCTACCAGGTTTTCTTGAACTCTCACTAAATTCCTAAAGTATTTGTTTACAGCAGGAAAAAACTCAATCATTTCTATTTTTCTTGGCTTAAAAAGTTACTGAGTTTCTCAATGCATTAAAATTACATGGCTCTGATATTTAAATGAAGAAAATACAAACATTTAACTGAAAAATTAAGCAAAAAAAAGCTTTTGTTAATTCAAGCTATCTTAACACGTTATTAACAAATATTTTAGACAGTGGTTAAACAAACTGGCCAAGAGATTATAAAATATAAATTTATAAACTTTTTTGTAAGCATCTTGAGGGCAAGAACAGTATCATTTTTATCTTTTATAATCTCTATAGTACCCACCGCAAGAAACACCAAGAGCCTGCAGAATGAATAATGCCAGTAAGAACCTTGCGTCTTTAAGGCAACAATGGTTTATAACAGCTATTTGCAGGATAATCAAGAAACATCAAAGATAAGATTTTGAAAATCAATGTATAAGAAAGTGTATGTTAAAAACAACCCCTCATGTTTTTACAACTTCTCATAACACAGCACAAGGAAGAAATTAAGTGCTGTTTTAAACTGATGTTGACAATATGTAACCTCGCTGTTGTCATTCTGGGATGATCAAGGAAAAATGACTCATTAAAAAAAAAACCACGCTGAAGACTTCAATCACACACATACTTCTTTTTCTCCCTTTTTGACACTTTTTTTTTCTGAAGTGCCCAAACTGAGAAATATATCACCTTTAAATACCTCATCTTAACGGCTGCCCCATGAGGAATGTGACTCACTGCTGTATCAAGTAAACAGTAATATAACAGAATTTTGATACTTCTTTTCAGTGAATTTGACAGCAGTATCTTATTTTTTAAACATGTTATAGAAAGATTTTACACATGGCAGGTTACTGGACTTTCCTTATCCATGGGGATAACCTTAGTCTAGAAATTCTCTAGAGGAGGTAGAAGAGGAAAACTGTGGCTCCATACTCCACCTGTTAATCCTGAAGAGCTGCTGAAACCATCAGGCCGAGTGCAGAAGCCGCAAGCGGGAGGGGTTGGATCAATTCAATGGGCACATGACAGTGGTTTCTCTGGAAAACACCTGTCACAGCCTAACCCAGAGGTGGCTATGAGATCCCTGCCCAGGGGCACCTTTTGAGTTTTGGAAAAAGTGAGGACAAAGTTTTGCCACAGAGGCAGGTGCCTGGTATTTGTTCACTGTGGGGACAGGGAATGGGGAGGCAATGGCCTGGATGGCGTGGTCAGCTGTGAAATGCTGATCTCAGTTTGTTTTGTTTGCTGAGAAGAAAAAACAATAGGCAGAAGGAAACTTCAAAGTGTTATGATGGCAACACTCTTAACTTTCTTTTATAGCTTTTTAAAAGGTTGTAGTTTGAAATAATTTCAAACTTAGAAAAGTTCCAAGAATAGTACCAGGAACCCTTGATTCCTCCTTAACCAGATTCACCAACTGTTATTTTGCCATAGCCGCATTCTCTTTCTGTCTCTGTCACACATACACACGATCACACACTATGTACTGACATGCACAGACATTATGCCTCAGCCATTTGAGAGCAGGTTGCACACATCATGGTGCTTTTTCCCTTCATATGTCAGTGTGTATTTTCTAAGAACAAGAATATTTTCTTTCCTAACCACAGTCGGTATGTACCAAGTCCTGGAAATGTAAAATTCATGTAATACCAATATCCAATCCATAGTCCAATTGATGAAACTGATCCTAAAATGGCCTTTCATCAGAAATTTTTTCTCCAGTATAAAATCCAGTCCAGGATCACATTTTCCATTTGGACAGCATGACTCCCTAGTCTCCTTTAATCTGCAACATCGTATTTCTGAAGAACACAGGCCAGGTATTCTATAGACTGTCCCTCAAATTAAGTTTATCTTATTTTCCTTTACGATCAAAGTTATGCATGTTGATTGTAACACATAACTGATATGTCCTTTTCAGGATATGAACATAATAATTCTTTGTTCCATAACTGGTGATGTTAATTTTGATAACTTGGTTAAGGTGGTGTCCAATTTCTCCTCTGTAGAATTACTGTTTTCCTTTATAATTAGTAGGTAACTTGTGGAGGGGTACTTTGAGAGTTCAAGTGCTCCTCAACCTACGATGGGGTTAAGTCCCAATAAATCCACTGTAAGTTGAAAATATCGTAAGTCGAAATGCATTTAGTATACTTAACCTACTGAATATGACAGCTTAACCTAGCCTACCTTAAACATGCTCAGAACACTTAACATTACCCTACAGTTGGGCAAAATCAACTCTCACAAATCTAGAGTGTTGACTATCTCATGTAATTATTGAGTATTGTGCTGCAAGTGAAAAACAGAACGGTTCACAGTTGCTGTCCAACATCACAAAAGAGTCTCATACCACGTATCACTAGCCTGGGAAAAGAGCAAAACTCAAAATTTGATGTATGGCTTCTACTGAGTATGTATCACTTTTGCACCACTATAAAACTGAAAAATTGTTACAGTTTGACCATTATAGGTCAGGGACCATCTATATAGAAATAGCCTAGTCTTCATATATTGATTATTTTTCCCTGAATGGATTTTTATTACAATGCTTGCAAATTTGTGATTTTCCAATACTATCATTCTTTGTATATTTATTACTTGACATTCCATTCAGGAAAAGCATTTCATTTTCTCCAGTGTACATATTTATACAAATATTTATCTACTAATATCATTATAATGCATGAATTCTTACTATCCTTCATTTATTTTAATCCCCAAAGCTGATGCCCCAGATGTGACCAGCAGGATCCTACAGCTGGCTCCAGTGTCTTCTGACATGCCCCAGCAGCGACTGATCACTTCCTTACTTTCCTGGCACACAATGATCCAGGGCTATCCTGTACGTTCCCTACCCTGGGCCTGGAATCCACCCTTTCCCTAAAGAGGCCTGGTTCCTTTTAGTGGGGAAGAGTGTTTAGAAACCAGATCTGGGCAGTAGGTGAGCCCATTGCTACCAGGAGGCCACTGCTTCTGAGCCCTCTCAGTCAGAGTGAGGGTATGTGTACACACACACACACACACACACACACACACACTCATGAGTTTACAATAATAGTGATAATTCCTTCCCAACCCCACAGGGTTCTCCCTTGCCTTCCCCTGCTTTATATTTTTATTTTCCTTCTTCCACAATAAAATCAACCTAGTTCCTCATTTGCTCAAACCTATAATACAGCATAATTTTAGAATTGCTATACTCATACCCTTATGAAAACTAAACCTATGAAGAAATGTTTAAGATTTGTTTGCAGTTCTTTTTGTTTCTTCATTAGACTGAGGGTATATCAGGTTCAAAAGTTACTGAAAACCGTTTCCCCTCATTCAATGTGATTATGTTATTCATTTGAAATGCAGTTAGATCATTTGTTTCTTTTCAGCTTTACATTTGTCCCGGTCTTTTGGTTTGCTTGTTGAATATGTAAAACATTAACATGACTCAAAACCATACAAAAGTGAAACCATGCCAAAGGCACACTCCCTCCCCATCCTCCCACCTCCTTGTTCCCGATCCTTTATAGAGAACCAATCTCATTAGTTTCTTGTATATATGAAGTGTAAGAGCATCTAAAACAAGCTACCATAATGCATTCCCACCCCCTACTCCCAACCAATAATGCCTTCCTCAAACTTGTAAGAACCACAGTAGCAAAAAAAGGCCCAAAGTCTCTATCATGGTGGCAGATGGACTGCTGTCACCATCTTTGTATTTACATGCTTGATTACTTTCAAGTCCTGTTGATCGAAACTGCTTCAACTCTGAAACATGGATTTAGAATGAGTACCAACTATTACTGATGAATTACCTGTTCCTCGGAAACTTCTAGAGGAGGGGGCGCTGCTGGCTCAGACTGCCGACCACCCTGATAGTTTACGTTTTGTCGCTGACGTAAAGGAGGAAAAAGACGATTCCAATTGATCATTCCTCCCTAAAAAGAGATCAACACACGGTTATCAGACACAGAAGGAGCAGAACCATCATAATGCTTGGAAGAGCTTTCTCTCAATGCAGTTACATCTATAGACTGGGAATGTAGTGTCATATTGATCTGCTCCAGGCAAGCAATTCGAATCCAAAAGTATCACAACATCCTTCAGTCAATAGCACAAAATTGGCACCTGCAGTAGGTGCTCAGGAGAAAAGAAAGTAATGGGCAGTGCAAAAGCTGTTTGTGCACTGTGGCTCTGGAAGGCAGTGAAAGACACATACAAACACTCCTAATTTCAGCCCGACTGTGACGCCACTGACTGTCCCAACTCCAGTGAACTCTTAGGAGCTCAGGGCTTTGCAGGGTGCGATAGAAAGGAAGACATGGAGAGGAGGCTAAATCACTGAGGGCAGCCAGATATCTGGTGTTTCCATCACGGCCCTTAAAATGCTTCCCCACTCTACCTTTCTTCTTCTTATGGCTGAAGTAAATCCTGAGCGTGCCCAGTGCAGGAAGACTGCAGACTGTGATAAAAACTCAGCAACAGGCTAGAGAGTATGAAGGGAAATCTGACAAACAGGGAAAAGGTGAGAAGTGAGATCAGTAACCATCTCTCTGAGGGTAGTTCCACGGATCCTGAGGACCGACAGCAATGCCGTTCCTTGCTTAGTCTATGTCACCAACGAAAAAAGAAGCCACCATGGGAAGAAAAATGCATCACATGCTGCTTTTAAAAAATCCATGTTTCTAGCTATATGACAATCTTTGAATTTATTAATTTAAATCTCTATTTCTAGAAGTCTAGTCCTGACAAAATTATAGACTAAGTATCTGAAAATCTTCCTACTATAAAGACCTAAAAATGCTATTAACAGATAAATATTTCTATACACAGCTAAACATGAAAGAAGTAAGTGGAGTCGCAAGGCCTCGGGAACAAGCGGGCGTGGAAAGCAGAGCCGCACACAGTGAGCATCCCGGGAGACGGGGGAGCACAGGTCCTGCTCACCCAGAACCACACTGGGTTTCATCACTGTTTGGGTTCAGAAGATGCGGCCTTGGGTCTGAAAGAGGCAGCAATTTTGAGCTCAATTATCTGTCTAAAGATACAATCTTCAAATGGCAGCACCCTCAGCGACAGAGATGAAAAAAATCAAACTAAAAAGCCTGTCTTCCCCCGGAAGACAGCAGGAATCTTGGTCCTGCCTGAGAATTAAGAACCACAGGCAAATTTGGGGTTCAAGTTATACTATACATATGTGGTCTCAGAACCCATCAAAAAGTTACATAAAATTGGTTTTGGGATGGAGATACCTAAGGAGCCAAGCAAAAGCAAACGTCAAACTACTCTGGAGAGAGATTCTCTTGCCTTGGGGTTCCGTGGGATTTATGGTTAAAGCTCCAGTGGGGAAAAACTCAGAATTTAAAACTACAAAATCCACAAGGAAATCACCAATGATGAGCAAGTCGGCACACACAACACAGAGGAGGACTGGGTCCCCAAGGACCTGAATATAGGAGGATCTGAAAATGATTACACACTTCAAAAAGACTAGGATGTCACAGGAGGACCTTAAAGAAAAGAATAAAGTATTACGAGAAAAAACAGCTGTGAAAAAAAATTAGGGAAACAAAAGCCACTCTCACCTCTCACCTACAAAAGATAAATCTAAAATATAAACACGTACACAAGTTGATGTAAAGAGATGGAAAAAAATCAGAGAAACACTAATCAAAGAAAGCTGATGTTGCTACATTCATGCCAAATAAATAGACCTCAAAGGCAAAAAGGGCAGTATTAGGGATAAATCAATAGAATACATGAATATATTTATATATAACACAATGGCATCAAAACACAGAAAGCAAAAATAAATAGAATTACAAGAGAAGTGGAAGCATCCAGACATATATTTAATTTTCAGCATATAACTCAGTAACTGATATATCAACCAGCCAAAAAATAATAATATAAAAAATAAATGACAAGTTTATTTCTAAATGGACATATATACCTTGCATTTAATATTTAGAGAATATACATCCTTTTCCATTACATGTAAAGTATTTACAAAGTAATTGTGCACTAGATCCTATATGAAATATTCACAAATACCAAATGATAAACATTACACAGATTATATTCTCACCACAATGCAATTAAACTAGAAATCAATATTAAAATAATAACTATAACAAAAAACCCCACACATCTGGAAACCAAAAAAATCCTCATAATGGAAATTAGAAGATATCTCAGAATGAATAAAACAAAACTATTACCTACCTATCAAAGTTTATGGGATGTAATAAAGTGTTTCATGTAATTTTAAAATATTGAGCTTAAATTAAAAAAAGAAAACTGAAAATTAAAGGGTTATGTATACCTAATTTAATAAGTTAGAGAAAGTAACAATAATCTAAAGAAACGAGAAAGAAGAAAGTAGAAAGCTGACAGCAAATGCCAGTAAAGTGGAAAACAAAGAAACAGAAGGAGTCACTAAAGCTCACTGCTGGCTGTTACAAAGTCAAATAAAATAGGCAAACCTGGCAAGCTTGATGAAAAGACAGATGAAGGAGCACAAATAAACAGTATTAAGGATAATACAAGGGATATAATGGCAGATTTTTAAAAAATCACAAGAATACTTTATTCATACCAATAACTTTGATGAATGACAACTTTCTAGAAAAGTATAACTTATTAAAACTTATTCTAGAGAAAACAGACATTGGTAATTATCTTTGAAAATTGCTCAGGACCATCTACTTTAAGCTGAGCCACATGTGAGACTCAGCAATTCCACTCCTGGATAAAGAAATTCAAACACGTGTTCATCAAAACACGTGTTTGATGATGGAATGTTCTCAGCAGCATTATTTATAACAAAGATAGGAACTACCCAAATGCCCATCAACTATAGAATGGCTAAGTTATGCTATATTCACATACTGTAATCTAATAAAGTAGTTTGAATGAATGAACTATAATGACATGCAACAATATGGCTGAATCTCTCAAATGATGTTGAATAAAATAAACATAAAAAGTACATTTGTATGATTACTATTATTATATAGCATGTACTTTTCTGGATATGTCATACTTTAATGTAATTGAAATAGTACTTAAAAATCTGCCCCCCAAAAACCTACAGGTGAAGTGTATGAAACCTTTAAGGACTCTTTATCTTATATAAACTGCTGTAGAGTACAGAAAAGGAAGGAGAGTTTCCCACCTAATTTTTTGAGCCTAGCATAACATTGTTTCCAAAACAGACAAGGCCATTATGAGCAAGAAAATACAATATATAGTTTATTTTTCTTGGGTAGATATACTAATCCTAAATAAAAATCAGCAAATTCAATCCAACAATGTTTAAAAAATAATTATCTAGTATGATGTGCTATACTAGGATTTATACTCAGAAAGCTTAGAAAATCTAGCAACATAATCTACACATTAACAATTTGAAGGAGAAAAATCACTCATCTCAATAGGTATGAAAACAATTTGACAAAATTCAGTACCCATTCATGAAGAGACAAAAATGCCTATTACCAATTCTCGCATTCAGCACAAGTTACAGCATAATGAGAACAAAAACCAAACCCAAACAAAAATCTCAGGTAAAGATAGAAAAAGAGAAACAAAACTCATTATTCAAATGATGACTGTCTACCTAGAAAATCCAAGAGTGTTTACAAATGTCTCTCAAAGCATGAGAACAAGAGAGTATAATTAAAAAGTAACATTCCCTCTATTGAAATCATTTAGAGAATGTACGTACAAAAAATTACTATTTATAAATAGCAATAAAAAATATAAGGTAGTTAAGAATAAAATCAAACAAAAGATCTGCAAGATCTCTAAGTAAATGGAAAGATTCAGCATGTTCCTGAATTGAGCCTGGTAACATGTAATCCTATAATCTATCCAGACACTGCCAACTCCAGTCTAGCAGACTGCTGGTTCACTTCCAATATCCATTTTCCCTCTTTGAAAAAAACAGTTTTGGTTTTCTTGGGTGTGTGTGTATGTGTGACTTGCTACCTTTCTCAGTTTCCCGCCACATTGACTAGGTTCTGACAATGGTATATCAGCAGAAAGGGAATATGGGCCGACCAGGAAGATCCTCAGAGGCAGGGGCTCGCCCTTCTTAGAGGATCAGGTGGAGTCCTGTGCTGAGGTTACAGCAGCAGCAAGGAGCCGGGGGCTGACACCTTTAGGACGCTGCCCCGCCAGCCTGGGCTGCCCACTGCTGGACTTCTGTACGAGATAGAAATAAACTACCTTGTTTAAGTTTCTGCTATTTTGTGTGATCTGTCACTTTGGAGTCAGACTCCTATTATTATTCCTATTCCCATAAATTATTCCTAACTGCTATATACTCAAAATTCAAAAGTATGCACGTGTGTATATTTTGGTGGGACTAGACTACTTGAAGTTAAAGTTCAAAACTAGGCATGACTATTTTGAAGAAGTATGATAAGAAAGGAGTTCTCTACCAGTTATTAGGACTTAGTATTAGACTGCAGTAATTAAAGTCATGTGGTATTAGTGCAAGTTAGGCAAAAAGTCCAAACAGGAGACAGAGTCTAGGAATCAACAGTAAACACTGGCACTTGGTTGTGGGTCTGTACTGAATACACAGTCCTGGGACAACTGTCTATAGATAGGGAAAAGATAAAACTAGACCTTTACTTCACACCACCCACAAAAAGAAACACTAAGATTAAATATTTAAATGTGGAAAGCCAAACTGTGAAAATTTTTTTGAAGAAATAGGAGAATATTTTCATGTCATTAGGATAGGAAAGGATTTCTAAAACAGAAATATGAAGTATAAATCACAAAGAAAAAAGTGGTTAAAAATTACTTTACCTGCAAGAACTTTTGTATTAAAAGTTCAATTGTTACTGAATTAAATAAGACAAACTACAGATTGAGAGAAAATGTTTACAACATATAACTGCTATATGCTCAAAACTCAAAAGTT